TAAATAAATTTAAAAAAACACATTAACCACTTCTACAGAGACTGCCTGCCTCTCACTCACTATGCTCCAGCCTACTATGTTCCTTCCAACCCCAAGGCCTTTGCACATGCATTTCCTTCTTCCAGGAATACCCTTGCAGCCTGGCTCTGCCCAAATTCTTAACTAAATATGCTCCTCAGCAGAAGACATCCCAGCCGTCCCAGACTGGGCTAGCATTCCCTGTTATACCCATGCTTGGTTCCCTGTCAATCTCCCTGTGCTTCACATAGTAATTATTAAACAATTATAATTATTAAATGGTAATTACTTCAACGTTGGTACAACATAATTTTATAAGCTCCATGAAGACATCTTCCATGGGTCTCATAGACGATGGCGCATGGAGCAGGGGATCAGTATGTGTGCTTGGGTCTCTCCTTGTTTCCATCTCAGACCCCAGAAGCAGCCTCACCCCGTCAAGTCCATCCCCTATGTGGGGTCAGACCATGTCCCTCCCCTACGGACTCCCATGACTTCCTCTTGCTCTCAGACATCACCTAATTCCCTCTTAAGGGCTTTCAATACTTGCCAACTGGCAGGCACCTCTCCTGCTGTGTCCCTCCCATCTTTTAGTCGACCAACAAAATGGGCTCTGTCCTCACTGTTTCTTGCAGTAACATCAATGGTCCAGCCTCTGGGCCTTTGTTACAGCAACTGCTCATTCCATTGAGAATGCTATCATGGACTTGGTAGGAACCTACCTGGTACCTGTCACCCTCTTCTTCCCTTTTAATAGAACTCTGGTTTGCTTTGACCAAACCTATGTGGCTCAGGGGAAGTTGAGCAGCATGACCCAAGCCTCCTCTAGTATTGGTGGGATTTCTTGGGAGTGTGACATGCCTTGTTAACTGGAGTTGCTGAGCTGGGTGGATATGCCTGTCTGGAGCTACCAGGGGTCATATGTCACCAAATGACAGAGCCTTCCAGACAGATGGAGAGAGACTGTCTTCATGACATTGCTGGAAGTCCTGGATCAAGCTGTGCCTGAAGCCCACACTGCCTCTTGATTTGTGGCTCATGTCAGTTTGCATTGAGTTTCTTGGAACTCAAAAGTTGTGACTGATCTTTGAATCTTTTTTCTCCCTTCTCTCTCTCAAGATTGTGTTTTGTTTGTTTGCTGCTATGTGTCTAGTGTATCAATTCTTTAAAAAAATTTTTTTAAACCTCATCTGAGGATATGTTTATTGATTTTTAGAGAGAGGAAAGGAGAAAGAGAGAGAGACATCGATCGGTTACCTCCCATATGCACCCCAATGGAGGATTGGACCTCGACCCAGGTATGTGCCCTTGACCAGGAATTGAACCCATGATCCTTTGGTGTGCAGACTGATGCTCTAATCACTGAACCACACAGGCCAGGGCTCTAGTGTATTAAATCTCATAGCTCTGGTGACCAGGCCAAGGCTGGGCCAAGAGTGAATGCCTCGTAGATGTGGAATTAATAACGCTAGGTGGTGAGGGTAGAAACCGTGAGTGCTGTGGATGTGTGGAAAGGAGGACGAGTCCCTTCCAGGAAGGTGATAAGTGATGGCTGCCTGGAAGAGGTGGCAGCTAACTTGGGCTTTGAGGATAGATAGCATCCGGGGAGAAGGAAGGTATGTCCCAGGTGCATGAGTGTGTGTTGGAGGTGTGTGTGTTCCAAGAAAAGTAATCCCTGCTCACATCACCTGCCCTTCTGAGGGCTTCACTGGGAGAGGGGCCCGAGTGCCACGCAAAGGGCTTTGGGTCCCTTTTGGGGTTACAGGAGAGAGAGGGCCTTTGCTTCCATCTGGGGCTCCTTTCAGGGGTGAGGGCTAGCAGAGGTGACCTTGTGAGGAGCCCTGACTCACCACAGCTCCCTAAGCCTCAGGGTTCTTTTCTGTTCTCCCAGTTCTTCCAGGCATCTTGGCCCTTCCTCCACCTTCCTGCTGTACCCAATGCAGACCTGATGGATGGTGGGTGGTGGGTGGTGGCTGGCATCATGGCAGTAGTGCTCATGTGTCCTCATAACACAGGGTTGTCATGGCAACCGGCTGTCCTGTTTTCCTGGAAACAGGCTTGAGTACTGGGCCCTGGGAGGTAGTCTGCTGAGGAAGGGAGGGAGGCAGTGAGGTGTCCCTGTAATCCTTCCCCAAGGTCTGCAGGGAAGGATGGGGACTCATGTTTTTGTTTTTTAATTGATTCTTTACTGAGAGGAAGGGAGAAGGATAGAGAGTTAGAAACATCGATGAGAGAGAAACATCGATCAGCTGCCTCCTGCACACTCCCCACTGGGTATGTGCCCGCAACCAAGGTACATGCCCTTGAACCAGAATTGAACCTGGAACCCCTGAGTCCGCAGGCCGACGCTCTATCCACTGAGCCAAACCGGTTAGGGCAGGGGACTCATGTCTTTATCTTCTGTTTATGTGTGGGAGGTGCAGGTTAGGCCCTCCTGGGGGCTACACAAGGTCCTGCTCAAGGCCAGGCATCAACCCAATAGGGACGCTGAGGCCTCCAGGGGTCCTGTGTCATGTGACTCTGCCCATCACCCACTTCACACCCAGTCCTACCAGACACTACAGGGCTCCTGGCACTCTCCCTCCTCAAGGTCCCCAAACAGGCTGTCCCCCCTTTTCCTGGAAGGCTCTGCTATCTTCCTGGCCAAGTCTTCAGCTTGAATGTCCCCCCCTGCCCTCCTGGCTCAGCCTGGCCCCCCTAAGTAACTATGCCCCAACTCAAGCCTCTATCATGTTGACAATTATATTATTGCTTCTTTGCTTGTGTGATGATTGGTTTAATAAATGTTCCCTCTGCCAGATGTGACGCGCGAGCAGTCTCAGTCACAGCTGTGTCCCACACGACAGGAGGCTGCTCTCAATACATCTTTGTCAACACTCTCCCTCCTTGCTCCAAGCTTTGCCCACATCACCCCAGCCAATGTGGCGTCTTGTCTCTATCTCTTAGGCTCTTTCTGGCATCAGGTTAGGGGCCTACACATTACTTCCACCTGAAACGTTCTGGAACATTCTGGGCCCTTCCACAACACAATGTTTTGGAATGTTCTGGAACATCCTAGAATATTCTGTCCCCTGCTTTTATTAAAGCTGGACATCACCTCCTTAAAGAAGCTGTCCCTAACCTATGGCTAATGTAGTCCCTCTCCGCTTGGTGGCTCTCAGCCCATTGACTTCATGGCTGTTATCACCACCAGGAAAGGCCTTGGTCATTGATCAGTTTGTGTGTCTCAGATTGTCTTTCCCATTAGAATATACATTGCCGAAACCGGTTTGGCTCAGTGGATAGAGCATCGGCCTGTGGATTGAAAGGTCCCAGGTTTGATCCTGGTCAAGGGCATGTACCTTGGTTGTGGGCACATCCACAGTAGGGGGTGTGCAGGAGGCAGCTGATTGATGTTTCTCTCTCATCGATGTTTCTAACTCTCTATCCCTCTCTCTTCCTCTCTGTAAAAAATCAATAAAAAAATATATTTTTAAAAAAGAACATACAGTAAAAATGGGTATATATTGCTGTTTGTGAATCAGCCCTGGTGGGTGTTGCTCAGTGGTTAGAGTGTTGGCCCGAGCACCATAGAGTCACGGGTTCGATTCCAAGTCAAGGGCACATACCTGGGTTGCAGGTTCAATCCTGGCCCTGGTCAGGGCGCATACTGGAGGCAATCAATTGATGTGTCTCTCTCATATCGATGTTTCTCTCCCTCCCCCCCACCCCCAGCTTCCTCATTCTCCCCTTTCCACTCTCTCTAAAAATCAATGGAAAAAATATCCTTGGGTGAGGATTAACAAAACAAAGAATAAAAAAGAATATACATTCCAGAATATTCTGGAACATAAGGGCAGGGATCTTGCCTGACATGCTTACAGCCCAGCACCTGGTGCTGGAGGGAAGCAGTAGGAGACCAGGAGATGGTGGTGAGCTCCAGGGTGGGATGGCTCTGACATTGTCCTGATGGGGCCTTGGGCAAACTACTTCCTCGGAGCCTTTAACTCTGAGTCTCCAGGTCTTTCTTTTTCGTAGAAGTGTAACTCACAAACAGCAATATACACCCATTTTTATTGTATAGAGCCATGAATGTTTACACTCCTGTGACCCACGTACAGAGCACCCCAAGCCCCTGTGGGTCCCTCTTGACCCTTTCCAGTTAGTCACCCCCCAGAGGCAACCCCAGGTCTTACCTCTATCACCTTGGCTCCATCTGGCTTCTTTTATTTTTGCTTTTATAAAAAATAAACTGGCTTTAATGAAGCAAAATTTACATTCAATAATGCAACCACTTTAAGCACTCAGTGAGTTTTGACATATATAACCCCCCTTTTCTGTTGCTACATAATCAAGAAATAAAACATTTCCATCACTTCAAGGCCTCGTGCCCCTTTGTGGTTAATGCCTTCCCTCCCTGATGATCCACACCAAGTGGTCCCTGTCCCAACTTGTCACCGTAGATTAGCGTGGCCTGTCTGTGAACTTGACACAAATGGATTTATACAGTGTGTCCTCTTTACGCCTGCTTCTTTCACTTACTGTCAGCAAGATCCACCTGTGGGATGCATGTGACACTGGTTTGTTCTTTTTCTTGCTGCATAGTATTCCATTATGTGAATATGTCACTGTTTGTTTATTCACAGACCTGTTGGTGGACCCTTAGGATGTTTCCAGTTTAGGGCTGTTATGACCATTTCTGTTCACACCTTTGGTGAAACCACGTCTTCCTTTCCTTTGGATAAAGACCTGTAGTAGGTTGAGTGGTGTCCCCACCCTCTTCATTTTATGTCCACCTAAAACCTCAGCATGTGACCTTGTTTGGAAATAGGCTCTTTGGCCCTAGCTGGTTTGGCTCAGTGGGTAGAGTGTCGGCCTGTGGACTGAACGGTCCCAGGTTTGATGCCGGTCAAGGGCACATGCCTGGGTTGCGGGCTCCATCCCCAGTAGCCGGTGTGCAGGAAGCAGCTGATCAATGATTCTCTCATCATTGATGTTTCTCTCTCTCTCCCCTCTTCCTTCCTCTCTGAAATCAATAAAAATTTTTTTAAAGAAATAGGGTCTTTGCAGCTCCTTTCACTTGTCTTTGGGCACATACCTCGGAGTGAAATGGCTGGGTCATAGGGTAGCTCCATAAGGAACTTTTGGAGGAACTGTCATCCATTTCCTTTTCCTGCTTATCATCTGACCTCCCCTGGAACATCAACTTCCCAAGGGGCAGGGACTTTGTTTTCTTCCTGGTTCAGAGCCCTGGACAGCACCTGGCACATTATGTAAATACATAGTGCAGGAATGAATCATTGTGACTCTTGACTCTTAGGTTCTCTGGATCTCAGTTTCCACACCTCTGAAATGGGAATGAACTTAATCCTTCCCTCAGGAAGAATTAGTCTCCGTTCCTCCAAAAAGGCTCTGAGCCAGATACTCAAATGTCCACAGCATGTGCACCGTGGGCCACTAATTGGCCCTGAGAAAAGAATGACCAGTTCTGCATTCCTTCCCGGATGGTGAAGAAGGTCAAATGCAGAGGGCGAAGGGTTCCTGCTGTCACACAGCAAGGGCTTCGGGCTCTGGGCCCTTAGGGAGTGGACTGTATGGGAGGCTGCATCAGAGGCCGCTCTTGGGGACCCCCACCTCAGTTGGGGTCTTGGGGGAAGGTGACAGTCCACAGCCAGACAGTTAGGATTACTGCCTAGAGATGAGCCAAACCTGGGAGGACCTCGTGCGAGGTGGGCAAAGCAGGTTCCAGTGATTTATTACCAGGGAGAGTGGGCTTTCAGGGAGAAGAGGATCTCAGCAGCCCCCACTACTACACTATTCATAACGTAATGGCTGATAGGGACCAAGTGCTGCAAGAGGACCTTTAGGGCCTCCAGGGTCTCTTCCTCTGAGCCAGGGGTCCTGGTAGCTCCCCAGGCCCTAGGCCACACGTATCTGGCAGAGGCCAGCCTCAAACCAGATCCACATTCTTGCATGCTGACTCACACCCTCCCAGCCTCAGTTTCCTCATCTGTAAAATTGACATATACCCCCAGAGAACTGAAATTGTGTGTTTAAACAAATACATGTGCACACATGTTCACAGCACACTATTCACAGTAGCCATCCCACTCCGTCTGGGGCCAATCCAAGTGTCCATCAATAGGTGAATGAATAAACAAGATGGAATATTAGTTATGAAAAGGAGTGAAGCACTGACACATGCTACAACGTGAATGAACCTCATAAATATTATGCTGAATCAAATAAGCCAGAATTGGTAAGCCCATAGGGACAGAAAACGGATTACTAGTTACTAGGGACGGGGGGAGTAGAAATGGAGAGTGAGTGCTACTGGGGACAGGATCTCCTTTGGGGATGATAGAAGTGTTTTAGAACTAGATAGACGTGATGGTTGCATGACATCACGAATGCAATAAATGCCATTGAATTGTATACTTTACAATGGTAAATTTTATGGTATGAGAATTACATCTCAATTTTAAAAAAGGAAAACTAAAATACAGACTTTGTTAGGTAGAAAAGTCAAGTAGTGCTGGGGGGTGGAGAGTAGGTATGGGGGAGAAGGGAAGTGCCGTCAGCTGGCATGGACTCAGG